TGATTTTGACATGTGAATTTCTTTTGTAGTTTCTGATTCTTGTGTGAGACTCAAGCCTTCATGTTTAGGTCTGCTTCCTTTTGTGAAGTCTATGTGTCTTTGTGGTTTACTTTTGGTGCATAAAAAGCTGGTTTGTTTAACCTTCTGGTTCTCTCTTTTGATTTTATAATCAAAACAGAGTGGCCAGATTGCTTTTGTCTTCAGGAGTTCCCACAGAGGCCCAAGTCAGATGAGGATCAGATGCTCTCAGGCTTTCTCCTAAGGTCTGGATCCCTCCAGGAAAGATTTTGGCCTCAGGAATTTGGGGGTTTGACTGGCCTGGGAGCCGGGCCCAGGAAAAATGCTGGTCTAGGGCAGCTGATGGCTGTGCCACCCAGAGATGCAAAGGGAGATGGGGACAGGAAGAGGCCCCAAGGGCTCCTGAGGAATGCACTGAGGAACTAAGTTGGTCTGGATGCAAAGGATCAGGAAGCAGTGGTGGTTCCCCCATCTCTGGGGCACCAAGACAAGGAATGTGACAGCACCCAGGCTAGGAGGAGAGAGGGGTTGGGGAGATGGGAAGGTGAATGAGGCTGGGGGAGTCAAGGCAGGGAGGGCGGATCGACTTACCCAGGAGAGAGGCTGGAGGGTTGTGCAGGCCCAGGGAAGGAGAGGGAGGTGAGGGTGGGACAGGCCCAGATGGCTCCCAGGGACCTTGAAAAGGAAGTGGGTCCCTCTGGATGCAAGGGATCAGGAAGCAGTGATAGCCTGGCATCCAGGAAAGAGGCTGTTGGGCCATGCAGCCCAGAGAAACAGAGGGCGTTGAGGGTGGGACCAGGCCCAGAGGGCTCTTGGGGATCTGGAGAAGAAACTGGGTTGGTCTGGATGCAAAGGATCAGGAAGCAGTGGTGGTTCCCTTGTGTCTGGGGCGCCAAGCACCCAGGCTAGGAGGAGAGATGGGCTGGGGAGATGGGAAGGTGAATGAGGCTGGTGGAGTCAAGGCGGTAAAGGTGCAGAGGGTGCCATCGACTTACCCAGGAGAGAGGCTGGCACGTCATGCAGGCCCAGGGAAGCAGAGGGAGGTGAGGGCAGAACCAGGCTCAGAGGGCTCATGGGGACCACCAGAAGGAACTGGGGTCCTTTGGATGCAAGGGATCAGGAAGCAGTGGTGGTCCCAGGCCGAGAGGTCAGCCCCGGTGCCCTGGAAAGAGGCTGGATGGACGTGCAGCTCAGATGAATTTTTTAATATTTTTTTTAATTATTTTTTTTTTTTTTTTATTAAATTATACATTTTTTTTTGAGACAGGGTCTCCCTGTAGCCCCAGCTGGCCTGTAACTCACTATGTAGAACAGGCTGGCCTCGAACTCACAGAGATCCATCTGCCTCTGCCTCCTGAGTGCTGGTATTAAAGGCGTGCAGCACCATGCCGGGCATTAATATTTTATTATTTTTATTCAGTGTGTATAAGTGTGATGTTGTCTACATGTATGTAAGTGCACCTGTCACATGCAATGCCCATGAAGGTCAGAAGAGGGCATTACATCCCGTGGAGGTGGAGTTATGGACAGTTGTTAGCTATCATGTAGGTGTTGGGAACCAAACCCGAGTCCTCTGCAAGAGCAGCCAGTGATAGTGGTCCTAACCACCAAGCATCTCTCCAGCCCCTTCAGATGAATTTTTAAAGGAAACATCATTTCATTGTGCCTCTCCTTTTTCTTGCTTCTTAAGATGCAACTTGATGATATTTGATAAGTATACAAGTGGAATAAATGAAACGTTTGGCTAGTATGTAAGTTGAGTGTTATGCTTTATTTTCAGAAAAAATAATTGATGTATTTCTCTAGTTTGATTTTATTGAAATTCACAGTTTTTTACAATTCTCATACATGATGATAGCAATGACTGTGATTTAAAAACTCTGGAAGCCAGTAGGGCACTCCTGTAGGCTCAGCTTCTTGGAGGCTGAGGTAGGAGGATTGCTTAAGCCCAGGAGTTTAAGTCTAGCCCACACAGCATAGTGAGGCCCCTGCTGAAAAAAAGAAATGAGGGGCAGTCTCCTTTTACTATAAAATTCACCTCTGCTTCATCTTGAGTGCTTATCCTATAATTTGTGTGTGGGAATAAATTCAGATGCCATTGTAAATATGAGTTGGAAGAAAACTGCTGGTGCTATATTCTTTTAAGATAGTTTAAAAGCTTTGCAAATAGTGGCACTCAGTTCTTTAAGATACTTCATACCATACAACCCTAAATTTAAATATAAATTTAAATATATTGTATTTATGGGGGGCACACAGTCCAAGGTGGGTGTGTGTGTGTGTGTCTGTGTGCAGGTCTGAGGATAACTTGAGCGAGTCAGTTCTCTCCTTCTACCATGTGGGTTCCAGGGATTGAGTTCAAGTGGTCAGGTTTAGTGGCAAGCACCTTACTGCTGAGCCATCTTACTGGCACGGACTCTGAAATTTGATTATAACCTAATTACAAACATGGACACCTGACTGAGACCACAGCTGTAGGATATAAAACTGATTTTCTTCTACCAGAGGTCTAAGATGTTCACTGTTTTGAACTGAAAATTCCACTTTCTAATGACAAATCTGTAAAACAATCATGGCAGGGTATCTAGATCATTAGAATGTTCTCCAAATAACAGAAATGGCTCTGTAGGGAAGCCAACATTTTTATAGTTAGGGAAATAAAATTCAGAGCTAGAGAGATGGCTCAGTGGTTAAGAGCACTTGTTGTTCTTGCATAGGGCCCAGGTTCAGTTCCCAGCACCACATGGCAGTTAACAACCATTTGTAACTACAGTTCCATGGGCATTTGATGCCCTCTTCTGACCTCCATGGGCATTGCATGACACAAGTGAACTTACATACATGCAGGCAATACATTCATACACATAAAATTTTAAAATAGTAAAATATTTTTTTAAAAGAAATAAAATTCTTTATCCTAGCTCCAATGTCCAGTTTTCACAAGATGATTGCTAAGAAGGTTCTAGGCGGCATCTCTGTTAAAAAGCATTGCTTTCTGTTAATTAGAGATATGCAAGCCAGCCAGCGCTCCATAGCCTTAATTGCAGAAATGATCCACACTGCTAGTCTGGTTCACGATGATGTTATTGATGATGCAAGTTCGCGAAGAGGAAAACATACAGTTAATAAGATCTGGGGTGAAAAAAAGGTATGGAGGTTTTTGTTGCTGTTTTTAAAATCTTTTTTTTTACCAAATCACACGCTTTGGGGATTGCGTTTGCTTTTCAGATTTCTCACACTAAAAAGTAAAATATGCTTGCCCAAATGTGGTCTTGAAAATTGCAAAGTGTCCGTATTGTCTCTGTAAAGATATTTAATGGACAACAGAAAAATACCACAGAAAAATAAACTCTTATTTCTCATTACTCATGTTCATATATAATTTCTTCTGATTATAAGGAAAGATTTTCATGGGTATCCAGAAAGTATATTTCATTTTACTGTTTCACTCAGATTGGCTACATTCAGTTGAATACTTAAGTATTTGTTAATTTGCTTCATGTTCAAGAATAGAAGAATAAAAACAGAGAATCTCAGAAATAGTGTTCTACCATCAAAAGGTTACCTTGTTAAATAGAGGTACTTTAATAGGATTTGGTTTATATATTTCTAAGCATATTTTCTGTTTTATTAGGGGCTTTTGCCTGAGGATTTATAAATTACAGATTGAAGAATGAACATGAACAAATGAAAGGGAGGATGTGCAGACTTGTGATCAGGCATTCACCCACACATGGGCAGTCTTGTGCAGTTGAGAACAGAAGCAACCACCCTTAGATCCTTCTTCACATACAGTATCTGGTTCCCTCCTGTTCACATGCTGGTTTTGGTTAATGGGTATGATTTTTGTGGCATAAAGTTCCACAGTTTAATTCATGTGCATTTCATTTCAAATTTTAAACCAAAAGGTTTTATGGTATAGGGAGCAGCTGGATAGACATATGTATACATATGTGTACAAAGACCATGAGTGTGCATTTATATGAAGCTACCTTATATATTATGTAAATGTAATTATGAAAATGTTATATAAATGATCATTAAATGGTAAGCATATATTGAGCATCACTATTTTATTTATTTATCATTTTATGCGTATGAGTGTATTGCCTGCGTGTATGTATTTAAGTGCACCTATGTCGTGCAATGCCCACAAAGGTCAGGGGAGGGCATCAGATCCCCTGGAACTGGAGTTAACAGATGACTGTTAGTCACCATGTGGGTGCTGGGAACTGAACCCAGGTCCTCTGCAAGAGTAGCTGCCGCTCTTAACTGCTGAGCCATCTCTTCAGCCCCTAAACATCACTATTTTTAGATATTAGAGAATAAGTACTTCAACTAGTTATGTTAGAAATTCTGTTAATTTGAGCAGAGATGTAGCTCAGTTGATAAAGTGTTTGCTTAGCATATGAAAAGCCCTGGATCCAACCCCTGGGAGCTCATAAATCGGGCATGGTATGCATATCTGTAGTCCCTCAGGAGGGATTACACTCAGGAGGCAGAACAGAAAAATCAGAAGTTTGAGGTAATCTTCAGCGACATAGCAAGTTGGGAGACAGCCTTCTTTTTTCAAAAAAAAAGAAAAAAAAAATTCTAAGAGTGAAAACTGTGAATTCTGGAATTTTATAGTTATTAGGGAAGTAACAGCACTTACTCATATCTTTAAATATGCAAAGTAATGTACATGCATAGGTAATGTGTTTGATTACAGCATATAATTCAACAATACAATTTGTAATTATTTGTTAATATGCTCTGGGCATATTAATGTACTAGGAATCAAACCCAGGCCTTGTGCATGCTAAGCAAGTGCTCTACCACTGAACTATATCCCCCGCCCAGCTCTGAATTACTGATCTGCAAAATTTTTCCTCCTTTTTCTAGGCTGTTCTTGCTGGAGATTTAATTCTTTCTGCAGCATCCATAGTTTTGGCACGGACTGGAAACATAGCTGTTGTGTCTATTATAACCCAAGTTCTTGAAGATTTGGTGCGTGGTAGGTTGATTCTGACTTTTATTCTTTTTTTATTTAATCCTGGTATTCAGCAAGGCAATAAGCCCATATCTCAAGTAACCCTTCTTCTTCTTTATAGGTGAATTTCTTCAGCTAGGGTCAAAAGAAAATGAGAATGAAAGGTTTGCCCACTACCTTGAAAAGACCTTCAAGAAGACCGCAAGTCTGATAGCCAACAGTTGTAAAGCAGTATGTACGTTCTGTCTTTCTTCAAGTTGAAAAAAGCCCACACATATTTCTTAGTACCTAATTCTCCTAGAAAAAATTTAATCAGAGACTCTTAAAATAGTGTCCAAAAATCCAAAAAAGTCAGTGAGGAAGAATTATATCCCCAAACAGCTTCTGCTGTTTTCATTTTTGCTGTCTTCTTTTGGTATGGGGACATGAACTTCTCTTTCATTTTTCCTCCCTCAAGAATAATCAAAATAAACCTAATAACATATTTCCCAGTCTGGGCTGGCAAGACAGCTCAGTGGATAAAGCGCTTGCCATTCGAGCTTGATGGCTCAAGTTAGATCCCAGAACCCATGATTAAAGGATAGCACCAACTCCAGAAAGTTGTCCTCTAACCTCCACACTCACAATGGCATGCTGCCCATATTCATTCAGATCGTAGACACAATAATAATAAATTGCATTAATGTATTTCCCAGTCTAACCTGTAGCATTCTGAACAACTTTGTCACAGTTGTGACACATTATTTCTGACATTCTACCATTAAAAAAGTTATGAAATACTTTTTTCTCTTACGTAAATAAAAAAACCTAGGAGAAAAATGTCTGAGATATTAAATTATACTAGTATTCCACATACTTTTTCCAAAGTAGTAGATCTTCCCAATATTATTATACTCCTACAAATAAGCCATATTTTTTCAGAGTATAAATTGGGTGTTAACTATAACTTTTTCCTCTCCCTTTCTTACTCTTTACACCTTCCTGTGTCTGTCATCTGATATATATATCTAAATATTTAAGTCAATCTTTAGTCTGTAGTTCAGAACATGTATTCATTGTTAGTTCATGAATAAGAAACTCCATAAAACTGCACATGAGAAGCCATATATGGTAGTGCAGGCATATAGTCCCTGCACAAGATTATGAGCTCGAGGCCAACCTGGGCTACATAGTGAGTTCCAGGCCACCTGGGCTATTTATGAGATCCTGTCTCAAACTGCAGAACTGTTCATCTGAGCATTTCTTAGATTAACAGATTCAGAGAGGAACCTTGGCAAGCAGTTGTCCCATGTAGTTACAGCAACAAGAAAGAAGACCTGTAAGGTCAGATGTAAATTGTCTCAGTCCACTCTTTATTACAGCTTTATTACAGTAAAAGGAGCACTTTCCTAGTCCATTGAGACAGTGTCTCTGTTTTGCCATGTGTCCAATAAATACTTGTGAGCCAGAAAAAAATGAGGACAACACTTTGTTTATCAAAAGACCTAATAGAAACCCAAGGAATGTGAATAATGTAGGACAAGCTGGTCACAGTCAGCTATTTATTTTTGTCTTTTCCTTGAAAGGACTATTTTGCTTAAATTTCCAAGAAATTACAAGTATATATTTTTTAAGACCTGAAGAGACACCAATTAGCAAATAGGTCAGAGAATGACCTGTTCTAAATGAATGTCATAAATCTGTTACATAAATGCTTTATTCATTATTACAACTTTAGTAGTCAAATCTTTTTCAAGATCTGTCCTCCTAACCAGACATAGTAACATATGCCTATTATCCAAAAGAGTAAGGCTGAGGCAGGAGGATTGCCATGAGTCTCAAGATAGCCAGGTCTACATAGCAAGAAACTATATTCCCCCCCAAAAGGAGGGGTTAAGTGTTAGTGTGTTAAGTGAAGTTCATTGATAACTTCAGAAGTTTGATGTTGCTGTTTAGAAACACTAGCATGTGGTGGTACTGTTGGACTCGGAAACACAAAAGGAATATTCCTTGGGCACGAAGGAGCAGCACTCAGGAGGCTAGAACAGTAACTCATTCACACAGTGTGGAATCCTATGAATGGTCCAAGGAGAGGGAACCTGTGTCACTACACTCTGCTTGAGAAACCAAAGACACCGGAGAGTGAGGAGCAGTGCGTGTTCTCAGAGACTACCAAGTGAACAGGACAGATGAGATGGCTCAGTGAGTAAAGGTACTTGCTACTAAGCCTGCTAACCTGAGTTCAATCCCCAGGACCCACATGGAAGAAGGCCACATACACAAATAATAAATGTAATAAAAAAAATTTTTTAAGAGTAGCATGTGAACAATAGTGTATTTTAACATGGCTCAACCATGATTTTAAAGTAAAATATTCTAGGACTGTGTTTAAAGGTTGGTGATAGAGCACATCTGAGTTCTGTCCCAGCATTGGCCTGTCCCTCCCCTCCCATCTACCCACCCCAAATGTAAAAGAAAGAAGCAAGAGAGAGAGGAAAGAAGGAAAGGAGAAAAAAGAAAACACACAAAGAGCTTCTCTGTGCTGACCACTAGGAGGCGTACTGACACTGCCCTACAATGACCTGTTTTCTTGTGATTTATTCCCATAGCCCAGAGCTATTAGAATAGAGCAGCGGAGTCATCATGTGAGCTCCCTGAATAAAAGTTTCTATATTTAAGTGCTCATGGGTAGAAATATTCTAGAGGTGTTAGGCATTTAAAATTGCTATTTTTATATGCTTTTGGTAGTTAAAATACAAGCATATAGACATGTACACACACACACACACACACAAGCATGCAGGGGAAATTAGACATGCCAAAAACAGGAGAAAGAATTTAAGGATGAAGATTACTACAGAAGAAGTCATGGGATTCCAAAGTGGTATGAGAATTTAAAGAAGTTTTATCAGAATTCAATTCAGTCTATGAAGGACACCATTTTCCCCTATCGCCTTGCCTCCCTTACCCCTTTTTATCTATCTACTGTGTTTTTACCTGAAAGAATACTGAAATCCAAAGAGAAGGCTGTCTAGAGAAACTGTTTCATGGCTTTAATTGATATTTATTAAAATAGAGTTGATGCTATTTTCAAAATGTGGTTGGCCGTTTCTTTATACACATAGTCATGCCAGATACACTCTGTAGCTTACCTTTGAAGACTGATTTGTTCCCCAGGGAGTGAGACCTCACAGGTCAAGTGGCCTTTTTGTTCTTCGGCTACACAGTGAATACGTGGGACCTGAAATCAGAACTGGGTTATCATAGTCTTGCCTTGTCTTTTGTTTTGTTTTGGGTTTGTTTTATTTTTTGTAGTTTTTTGATACAAGGTCTCAGAGTTGTCCATGTTGGTCTTGAACTCACAATCCTCTCCCACACCAACTTCCCTGATAACTGAGTCTTAGGCATACACCATGCATGGGGCTCCAACCCACGATCTTCCTGCTTCATCCTCTGGATTACTGTGGATCAGCACCACACCCAGATCCTTGTGATAGTATGTTGCTTTTATTTCCATCTATAATTTTCCATTGGTCTTTGACAATACCCTCTTTAATATGTTTATCTGTAGTGTTGGTAGAGGTCAAAGTTTCTACACTATTTTAAACAAGATCACAATACATACAACTTACCCGTCAGGAAATATCTTTAAACTCACAGTGGTGCAAATATACTTTCAAAGATAAAGAGATCCTTGTTAAATATCAAGAAGTTTATCCTCTCCAAGATGAGCAGTACGTCCCAGTCCTTCTGGATGAGATTCATGGGAACCTGATGTTGGGTATGTCCTGAAGAAACACTTAGGCACAGCACAGCCTGGTAGTGGCATCTGCTTCAAGCAGAACAGTTGGTCAAGCCCCACTTTCTTGGACTTTATTATACTCCACCCACTTCCAGGAAGATGTGACGCATCTCTCTGGTGCTGAGTACAAGCAGCATCGAACAGCATGCTTTCTTGCCATTTGTGTATTGTGCCATATTGTATCTGATCTTAAATTTGTGATTGTTTTCTGTTCTTCATAACCTAGTTAAAGGAATCAGGATTCCCTAGGGTGGTCTTCAAGCTAAACAGAAATTTTACCCTTTACCAAGGGAGAGATAGAAGCTGCTAGCCAATAAGAAGCCGTTGCTGGGTTAGTGTATGTGAGCTGCAAGGGGACTGCAAGTAGACCTCAGCTTGGTACTGGTGTAGGCAACTTTCTTGACCCCTTCTACCTTCTGTTGTATGTTCATTAGAAGCAGCACTGCTGAGTGATTAAGAGAACAGTCTGTAGAATCAGACATTTGGATTTAGACTCTAATTTCTATAAGTTGTAACTGTGTAACACCTGGTACATTCAACATCTCAGTTCCTCAAACCTCATAAGTGAATTAATATACTACAAGTCTTAGGATTTGTTTAAAACCCAAGATTTGTTAGCTTTTATCATAATTGGCCATATACAAAGTGTTATGAGATATTTTGAGGCCTGAGTAATTCAAAGTGCTAGTCTTGTGTACCATAAGTGCCAATTCATTAACTTTTCTGTTTTAGGATATCTTTGTGTTAAGAAAATAGGGTTAATCTCTCTACTGGAGACTGCTTCATTATCTATTATTTCTGCCTACAAAACATAATCATTGTGTCCTGAGCTCAGCATATGCTGGGCTGCACGAACCTTGCCTTGTTCTCATTCTGAGTCAGCTTGGTGGCTAGCTTGACTCTTTGAAAATGCCCTCACCCCCACCCCAGTGCAGCCTCACAGGAGTTGAGCCCATGGATTGCAGGTCTTTGCAGTTGAACGCAGTTACTGCTTACTCAAGTAAGTAGCTGTTTGGCCTTTTATGGTATGTGTAGTTAATCATGCCAAGCATTTCAGCTACAGACTTCGTTATGTCATCAGAAAACATTTCCAGGGGTTGGATGGAGCAGGGTCGTACAGCACTTGCTTAGCATTTGCAAGGCCATGGGTTTGGTCCTCAGCACCACAAAAGGAAAACTACAAAGTCTTTTTCTGTGTGGATCTTCCCTGGGACCTGAATCTGGATCTAGGGGCTGGAAAGAAAGGAGTTCTCTGGGTTTTTGACTTACCCTTTTGCCTAACCTCAAATACACAGTCTTCCTGACTCACCTGTTGAGTACTAGGATTACAGATATGCACTAGCACATCCAGCTAAATAAGATTGGGGACCAAACCCAGGGCCTTTACACATTCTAGGGAAGTGCTTTACCACTGTGCCACATCCACAGCACTAGAGGAGAGTTGTTAATCACAAATTTACAAGTTCTAGTCAGATACCAGGAAAATCACTGAGGGTTCAGGTACTACCACATTCTTCAGCCACCCCATGAGGTGTTTTTAAGAAATATTTTCTTTCCCAGAACTCAGGAGGCAGAGGCAGGCGAATCTGTGAGTTCAAGGCCTGCCTGCTCTACATAGTGAGTTCCAGTCCAGCTGGGGCTACAAGGAGACCCTGTCTCCAGAAAAAAATTTTTTTTCTTTATGAGTGTTTTGCCTGCATGTATGTAAGTGCACCCATGCATGTAGTACACACGGAAGCTAGAAGATCCCCTAAATCCCCTGAAATCCCCTGAAACTGGAGTTATAGGCAGTTAACTGCCATGTGGGTGTTGGGAACTGAACCCAGATCCTCTAAGAATTGCCAGTGCTCTTAACCACTAAGCCATCTCTCTAGTACCCCCTACCGCTGCTGCCAAAGTATTTTAGTATTTACATTTTCCAGATGAGGAAACTGAAGCACAGAAAGATTAAGTAACATATCAAGATAGCCGTGAGAGGCATAAATCCAACCTATTCAAGGCCATCTGCAGAGCTCGTCCCACCTTACCATGCTGATGCCAAGGGAAAAACCAAAGAAATAGGCACTGAAGGCCAGGGTACAGTTACTTGTCACCAATGATCTAGTCTATCTGGCCTCCTCACTGAATGCCAATGTAGACTTTCCTCTCCAGTAGAGCAGAATGTTTCTCCCCTCCCCGTGTGGTTCTTACCCAATCTTTGTTTTCTGAAAATGTGGCTGGGCCTGCTTAGCATGCTTAGCAGAGCAGCAGGAAATACACTCATGTGGCCAGCACTAACTAGGTTTTGTTTTGATTGGTCTGGTTTTTTGAGTTTTCAAAGACTTTGTTAAGTCCTAATTCTCTAATGACAATAGGGGCAGGGGTATTCCTAATACAGCTAAATTGCTTCTTATGAATGAAGTTTGGAAACAATAGGTCCAGGGAAGATCCCTCTGGTAATGAAAAAACAGTATCTAAGTCCAAATTTAGGCTTACTGCTATTATAGACATAACAAGAAACAACAGCATTCAGAAATAAGTACAGTCACCAAAAGCTACTTTCAGATGAGATGCATGACACCATTATGTGTATGATTAGATATTCACCCCTGAAGTAAGGGGTAAATCCACAGAGGTCCTTGCAGTGGTGCTAGAAACCAGTATTTGAAATACAGGATTTGCATATCAGAAAGGTTTGCTTAGCTTATTACTAGCAGAACTTAATTTCATGGCTGTTTGTTCTACACAATGAGAAAAAACAGCTTATTTTGTTTGAAAGACGTGTAGGAGGAAGGATGGATTTCTTAGAATTTAAGAAAATGGGTGACAGCAGGTGGTTCAGTAAGTAAAGGCACTTGCTGTACAAGCCTGGAGTCCTGAGGTTGATCCCTGGAGCCATGTAAAGATGGAAGGAGATAACCTTCACAGTTGTCCTTTTGCCTCTACACCTGTGCATGGCATATGCTCCCCCACCCCACCCACACACATACACAAAAGGAAATGGGATGGGATTGTAGGGGAATGGTAAAGTGCTTGCCTAACATGCTTGAGGCCCTTGCCTTCATTCTCAGAACGTAAAAAAAAGCAGTTTTCTACATTTGGTCTATAGTGTCTATAATTTAGGCTCGGTACCTCTTAAAGGAATATGTGCATGGTCCTCTCATCCAGGGTTGGCTGCCTTGTTTCTGGTTGCCAGCAGCTTATCAGAATCCTCTTTTTCTTTCAGGTGTCTGTCCTGGGTTGCCCTGACCCAGTGGTGCATGAGATTGCCTATCAATATGGAAAAAATGTGGGAATAGCTTTTCAGGTTGGTATGTTCATTTACAGGAATGGTGATGTGTAGGCACAACCAGCCCTCTCCACAATGTCAGATGTCAAAGCCGCAGTGAGAACAGTGAGAACAGCGGCAGCTATATGGGTGTGGCAGTATCTTTTACATTCATTTTTCCCTTTTGCTAGCTCATAGATGATGTTTTGGACTTCACCTCATGTTCTGACCAGATGGGCAAACCAACATCTACAGATCTGAAGCTTGGGTTAGCCACTGGCCCTGTCTTGTTTGCTTGTCAGCAGGTAGGTTTTATTCACTGTAACATGCTGCTGAGGATCCCACAGAACCAATTTCTCCAGGCAGCTAACAGGGAAATTAGAGATAAAGAACAACTGGGGAGGCATTTAGACAAGGGACCACAGACCTAGATCTGGGTTTCATTGAGATGTTGACACCAAACCTTATCTGTGAAATGCAGATTATAATCTTCCTCTGTGTTGTTGTGAGGGCTGCTTGATACTATATCTTATAAATTGTGAAGTGCTGTGTGAATTTTAAGCACAAAATTGTGATCTGTTTTGGGCATTGGCCGAGTGAACTTTTTGTGATTGTAGGGCTAGGCTTTGTGTGTACCTTAAAGCCTCTTAAAGGTATAGGAAGTATCAAGAAAGCCTAAGAAGTTCTGAGAAATTCGTAAGTTCTAGAAGTTTAATAGGACTGTTTGCTGCTCTGCCTTGGAGCCTTGGTCATTGCTTCAAAATGTGACAAAGAATGTACTAGAACACACATAGTTTCAATAGAATGTACTAGAACCACATAATTTCTTTCTCCCAGATTGAGAGCCTATAAAGGAAGTAAGTAAAGCTGTCTCATGCTCTCCTTAGTATGGATGAGATGCTTACGAAGTACCAAAGACGTTGCAGTGACTTACAAGCAGACGTTTTCCATGTCTTCTGGACCCTGGCCATATTGCTTTTCTCTCTGCCAAATGTTACTTAGAGTAAGTGGGGTGTCTAGCTGTGCTTAGGCAGCTCTAAAACGGATTTTCATCCTGGTGGCATTTAACTGGTTATTTAGCAAAGTAGAAGACAGTCATCACCATGCATGGAATTTAAAACTAGGTTTTTGGTCTAAAATTTTCAAAACTTTTATTAGTCTTTCCATGATTTTGTCTGTTCTTTCTTTAAATTTGCAAAAATGGGCCAGGCATGGTGGTGCACACCTTTAATCCCAGCACTCAGGAGGCAGAAGCAGGTGGATCTCTGTGAGTTCAAGGCCAGCCTGGTCTACATAGTGAGTTCCAGGACAGGTGGGGCTACAGGGAGACCCTGTCTCAAAAAGACCAAAAGAAAAAACTAAGTTGTACCTTATATAGACCTCAGTGGTTGCATTTTGATGTCAAAACCTTTTGACTCACTTTTGATTTAAGAGAGGGAGAGATCATCTTTTACCCTCCTATCAGCAGAGCCACTGCAAGGGTCATCCCAGGGGAGGCTTATGCCTGGATGCCTGGGCTGGTTAGCATGGACAGTCAGCTAGCTGAGAGTAAGGACTGCAAACAGAATGATGGGGTATCTTTTAGAAACATCTGCCCTAATTACTCAGCTCTATCCTCTCAATTTTGAAGCCAAGATAAGTGTGTAATTCTGAGTATGGTGGCACAGGTCTGTAATACGAAGAACAAACAAGCTTGCTATCAATGGTAGGTCCCTTCTCCCATGAGCCTATGAGACTTACAGCCTAAAATTCAGAGATTATTAGTATATACGCCAAGTTCAGAAAGAAAATTATTTTTAAAAATCCTTTTATACATTAAGGCATGAATAAGGAACATTTTCTGTTATGCCATAAACCCACACATAAAGCAAAGCATTCATAAGCCATGTAAACACAAATGAAGGTATATCTGATATTAGGAAAATAAAGTCACTGGACTGGCTACCAATTGTTGTACAATTACAAACCTTCATCATCTCAGGACACAGTAAGCATGAGCAAAGGATGACAGCATGATTGGCTGCATAGGCCGGAAGCCAGCTAGCTCAGGAAGGACTCAGATGAGGTCCTGAGCCTTTCCCTGAAAAGATTTATAATCTGCAAAAAGTTTTTTGTTCTCTGTCATTGTTTCTGTTGCTGTGATAAAATACTGACCAAAAGCAACTAGGAGCAGGAAATGGTTCTATTTGGCCTGCCGGTAAAGTCCATCAAGGGACCTAAAGGCAGGAACCTGGAGGCAAGAGCTGAAGCAGACACACAGAGGAATGCTGATACCAGTGTCCTTTCCCTTGCTTTGGTAACTACTTTTCTAACACAGCTCAGGCCCATCTGCCTAGGGATGGCACTGCCCACAGTGGGCCAGGCCCTCCTACATCAATTAGCAAATTAAGAAAATGCCTCACAGATATGCCCACAGGCCAGTCTGATGGAGGAAATCTTGATTGAGGTTCCCTCTTCTCAGGTTACTCTAGTTTGTGTCATGTTGACCAAAACTAACTCAAATACTCTTACTTACAGAAATCTCAACAATTGCTGGGCGTGGTGATGCACATCTTTAATCCTAGCAGAGACAGAGGCAGGTGGATCTGAGTTCAAGGCCAACCTGGTCTACATAGCAAGTTCCAGGTCAGCTGGGGCTACAGGGAGACCCTGTCTCAAAAAAATAAAAAGTAAAAAAAGAAATCTCAACATTATAAATATTTGTCATGAGCTTCATGATACAAATGGAATAGACTGGCCTCTTTTGTTTGATTATAAACACATTTCTGAATACATTACTTTCCTCTACACAAAGACTTAAAAGCTAAATCCTACATTCAGATAAATTGGGGCAGGTAAGAATGGAGAGTGAATGCACAGTTGTTTTGGTGGTTGTTGAAGTCGGGGCAAAGGAAAGGTTACAGTGTCTTGAACCATGACTTTATGTGCTTTACTGGGAAATCCCAGGGTCATGAGGCATTCAGTCACCCTCACCAGACAGCACTTTTCTCATTGCATAAGGCAGTGGGAAAAGCACTTAGAAGGCCAGGGAGTTACAAGTGCTGCCTCACAAGAGGGAGCACATGATAAGGCCAAGCAGGGAGTGACTTGAAACAGGACTCACTGCATAAATAGGCTGATTTTTCTGTCTTGTGGCATATGAGCCAGAAGTTAGTCAAACGTGTATTTAAAAATTGTTCTTAAAAAAACCCTGAGTTTACGCTCTGTTATGGAGTATACTGTTTAAAAAGAGGTTCTCAGCAAGAACTGTCAAAAGTTTATGAGGCTTAAAATAACTGGGTAAAACAAGTTAAAAAAAAATACAGGGTTATATAGTATCTTGCTTTAATTTTTAAAAAGTGTTAAATTTTAATATATAAAGGATTCTTTCTTCACTTACCCCCAATCTTACAACTCCTCTTTGTGGCAGACACTATGATTTGTTCTGTAAATAAAGAGTCTAAGACTCCATGCCTGGCCAAAATTAAACATCTGGTGATGGCAAGGAAGGCAACTGAACACATCCCATCTTCTAAATCCAGCGTTCATTTTACTACACCATACATTACTACTGCCAACTAATAATGTTGATAGTAGTACCCAGTAGGTCTACACAGAGCAGGTAACTGGTGTGCCCTGGCACTGACGATACACTGAAAAGTGGACTATGTCCACTCTTATTTGTGGTTAACATACTCATTTACTATAGAGTACTTCTAGGATGTGTTATCCTTTCCCATAGGTATATGAGTCTTGTTCGCATATTTATTTGTCTTTGAACTAATCAGTTTGTATAACACTGAAGGTCTTGCTGTGTGGTCCAGGTTTCCTACCTTTTTAATGTGGCACAATGAAATTAGACATCATGCCTTTAATCCTAGCACTTCGGAGGCAGGGGTAGGTGGACCTCTGATATTGATGCCAGCCTGGTCTACATAGTGAGGCCAGCTGGCACTATAAGGAGACCCTGTCTCAAAAAGACCAGGAAAAAAAGAAATTGGACTTCACTAGGCTGAGAACTGTTTGATCAATTCTTCTATTTTGTTTATATCTCTGGGAAGGGTTTCTTAATGGTCATTGTTGCTTTTTCCTTATAACCCCAGCTGGCCTGGAACTCACTATGTAGACCAGGCTGGCTTCGATTTCACAGAGATCAGCCTGCCTCTACCTCCTGAGTGCTGGGATTAAAGACATGCGCCACCACCCCCAGCATCTGATGGCCATTGTTATTGGAGATTTAAGGTGCTTCAGGATGCTGTGGCTCAGTGACAGAGTATTTGCCTAGCATATGGGTTTGATTGTTAGCATCCAAAAAGTGAAAAAGAAAACTTTCAGCATTTCTGGGGAGGTCCTAATGATGGTAGTATATCAGTGTATTCCTTATATGTATCCATGTTTTCAAGAACAAAAACTTGAACTCAGTTGGTGGGCTCTATCCCCAGCACTTGAGGAGTGGAGGCAAGACCAGGAATTCAAGGTCATCCTCAGCTACATAGTGAGGCTTAACGCCAGACTGGGCTCCATGAGACGCTGTCTCAAAAATGAAACCCAAAAACATTATTAAAGACCTTATTCATAAGTGCAAACCAGAGCCAGAGGCAGCTGTTTGTAATGGATCTGTATACAGAGTCTGTTCTTGGGCAAGAGCTAGAAAATACAGCATATATCCCAAACAAGTCTCTTGTCATTTTTCTCTAAAACTCTCTTTACAGTGACTAACATTTCATCTAAACCTGCTGTGTTGTCTTAGGACTTTTATGAATTTTCTCAAACTGAATATAAAAGTTTTTTTGTGAAAGTTGGCATGTACATTTTTCTGAAGTGTGGTTATTTTTGCTATTTATGATGCCCCAAAAGATAAAGAATTGACTAGCAATATTTGAAATTTTTTCCTTGCATAGACTGACTGGTTTCCTTCCCTAAAAATAATATTTAGTCAGGTAAATGTGAAAAAGTGAGTAAAAGCCAGAGAGTGAGTTTGTTTGAACGGTCTCCCTGTAGCCACAGCTGGCCTGGAACTCACTATGTAAGCCAGACTGGCCTCAAACTCAGATCTACCTGCCTCTGCCTCTTTCTGCCTCCCAAGTGCTAGGATTAAAGGCAAGCTCTTTTAAAAAAAATTTTTTTTATTATTTTTATTTTATGTGTATGAGTGCAATGCCTGCATGTAGGTAGGTGCACTCATGTCGTGCAATGCCTGCAGAGGTCAGAAGAGGGCATCAATACCTTGGAGCTGGAGTTACAGACAGCTGTTAGCAGCCAAGTGGGTGCTGGGAATTGAACCCAGGTTCTCTACAAGAGCAGCAAGTGCTCTTAAACTCTGAGCCATCCCTCCAGTCCCAAGGCAATCTCTTTTTAAAAACTTTCTTGTGCCTCTCTTACTTGGTAAGTCACTAAACCTAAAATGTCAAGCTGTATCCATATTTCCACTGCCACCATCAGCCCCTGCACCAGCTGCCCAGCTTATGGTGTTATTACCAACTTTTGTTTGGGCAAACTCACCCCAGTTCTTGTGTAATTTTGTGAACAGATTTCAGTTAGAATTTGATTCATCCACAGGTTGTTTCTCCACTCTTAAAACTGAGCATAAGCAAACAAAAACTGTTTTGTCACTCAATCTGAGGCAAGCAAGCGTTCTTCCTGTTTCTCATGTCTTCCTTGAGAAGCTGGGGTAGGGAAATGCCTCTTGGAAGTTTGAGATTTGCATACTAGAGGTTCGTGCTGTTTTAAAGGAGAAATGTAATCATACTTGCTGCAATGTTATTTCAAATTCTCCTTCCTCTATGCTTTTCATAGGAAAAGCATCAGAGAAACAGCCTGATCAGCACATTTTATCACACTTATTCATATTAGAACAAAACCCATAAGCAGGGTGATTTTACTGTATGCCCAGGACAAGGTCAAATCTGCTTTAGGATACAGCCTGCCTGGGAATGTGGTTAACAGCACTGGCTGCTCTTGCAGAGGACCTGGGTTTGATTCCCAGGACCGACATGGTGGCTAACAACTGTCCATAACTCCAGTTCCAGGGTATCCAATGCACTCTTCTGGCTTCCATGGGCATTGCAGGACACCGGTGCACGTATATACATGCAGGCACAACACTCATACACATAAAGCTTAAAAAGTCAAACAAATGCCTTTTAAACCATCAAATTTTAGTTTCTTGATTTATTTCTGTTAAATTGGTATTTTTACCTTTTGAAATTTTTTTAAATATTATTTTTATGTGTGTGAGTATATTGACTGCATGTAGGAAAGTGCACCTGTGTTGTGCAGTGCCCACAGAAGAGGCCATCAGATCCTCTGGGACTGGAGTTACGGACAGTTAGTTGTTAGCTGCCATGTGGGCGCTGCGATTCGAACCTGGGTCTTTTGCAAGAACACAGTGTTCTTAACCACTGAGCCATCTCTCCAGCCCCTCTTGAAATTTTTTATTTATCTTAATGTGTTTTCCTGGCGTGTATGTGTGCCTGTGCATGCAAAAACAAAATATTTTATTCTTAAGGAATCAATAAAGCAAAGTACTGGTTTTCTCTTAAGAACTAACCAGTTGCTGGCTCTTTAAATTGTGTAAGCATGTTTAGAATTTTGTTCCCAAGCACACTGTTCTAGGAAAGAATGCTGTTCTATCTGCCATCGTCTAGCTAGGACAGTTCTCTGGGCCGGATTCTTTGTGTACCAACACCATGGTGACGATTACAGGAGAACTTCATCATTTAGGCTCACCGCCAGTGACTGAACACACCCTGTCTCCAACTCCACACAACTATAGGCCGCTAGAAACTGGAGATTTCAGATCATAGACAGAAAAGAGGCTAAGGCAGGAGGTGAAGGAAATCATTTTGCAGAACTAAAGCATGAGTCCAGAAGTGGTATGTCTGTTGGCCTGGCTTCCTTATTCCACTGATGACAGTTTTCCTAAATAGTAGCTAAGAATGAAGAGGATGGAAGATGCCTTCAGTGTCTTTTTTAAACCTGTGTGTGTGTGTGTGTGTGTGTGTGTAGGCACACATATGCCACATGCAGATGACAGATTTTCAGGACTCAGCTTCTCTTTCCATTTTGGGTTCTGGGGGCAGACTCATGCTATCAGGCCTTTAACCCAATGAACCATCTCCCCTACCTGCCTCTTCATTTTCCCTCTTTTTGCCATCAGATCTTGGATGCTTTTCTCCTGTTAATTTGTGTTACAAGGAGTTAGCTCTTGTACCAGCCAAAGAACCTAGAGGAATAGAAGGAGGATCTTCCTCCCCAACAAAGTCAGTCAGCCCAAGGCTCTTGTTTCTTGTAGTGTTAGGTCTGGAACTTGCTGGGCAGATGCTCTATCACTGAGTATACCCCTCTGATCTTTTTATAACTCCCTACAGTGACCTAATCACTATATCCTCTAGTTCAATGGATTTCAGCTTTGGCTGCATGTTTTAAAAAAACTGGGGAGTTTTGATAATCATGAGGGCAAAGGTAATACTGATCCAGTATAATCAGATTTGTTGGAATCCAGGCATTTACACACACACCCCAAATGGTTCCAGTGTGCAGTCAACAATGCCTAATTCCTAACTCCATCCAAAACAGCACTATAAACCACCATCTGGGAATTTGTTAGAAAGGCAGTCTCAAGCCATATCCTACTGAATTAGAAACTGGGGAGAGGCCCAAAAGGCAGTACAGGTGATCTTAATACAGTCTGAAATTCTAGAACCATCAGTGAAATCACTGAGATGTACTTTGCCCTCCTGGCTCTGTTATTCAATACTGGACACTATGATAAAACATCAGAACAAGGGTCAGTGAGGGCTGCCTCTCGCCTGTGCACCACAGTCCCTGGGCATTGAAAATTTTCCTCTAGCTAATCTTTAAATGCTACAATTAACTGTTCTTTCATCACATAAACACTTTTAAAAATGTGTGCATTTGTGCACTTGCCTGTCTGCATGTGCACCATGCACATGACTGACAGGTGTCCATGGAGGCCAGAAGAGAGTGTCGTATCCCCTGGGACTGGAATTACAGGGTGTTGTGAGTGCCATGGTGTGGGTGCTGGGAACCAAATCCATCTCCTCTGCAAGAGCAGCCAGTGCTCTTAAAAACCATTGGACAATCTCTCCAGCCCACATTTTTGTTATTATATGCTATTATTATAAGCTAGTATTCATATGCTTCATTCCTCCAAGAGCAATAAATACATCTCCTTTCTTTATGGTTAGTTCCCAGAAATGAACGACATGATAATGAGACGGTTCAGTTTGCCAGGGGATGTGGCCAGAGCTCGACAGTATGTTTTAGAGGTAAGACTGTTTTTATATTTTATTTCAGTTTTTTGTGATCTCACTGTGTAACCCTGGCTGGCCTAGAACTATGCAGACCAGGCTGGTTTCAACTCAGGAGATCCACCTGCCTCTGCCTCTGCCTCCTAAGTACTGGGATTAAAAGTGTGTGCCACCATGCCCACAGATTAAGTGAATGGAATGGAGCTAGCAAACAAGTAGCAGTGAACAGGTATGGTCTGAGATCTACACTTCGTGTATGGCTCTTGAAAGAACTCTTAAGTAATTATATTTCAGATTTTTAAAATTTTTCCAAACAGCAAACACCTTTTAAAAGGACAGGGTCTCCACTGAAGCCACAGCTGGCCTGGAACTCACTATGTAGACCAGGCTGGCTTTGGTCTCAGAGTGCTGGGATTAAAGGCATGTGCCAACACACCCAGCTAAGACACTGAATTCTTTTTTTTTTTTTTCTTGGTCTTTTTGAGTCAGGATCTCCCTGTAGCCCCAGGTGCCCTAGAACTCGATATATACACCAGGCTGGCCTCAAACTCACAGAAATCCGCCTGCTTCTGCCTCCCAAGTGCTAGGATTAAAGGTGTGCGACACCAAGCCCAGCCTAAAATACTGAATTCTTATGACATTTATTCCCTCTCTGGTACCAGGTACGGAACAGGGCTTTGCAATGTCAGGCAAGTACTTGCCACACTAAGTTTCGTCATCAACCCACTGTTTTTTAAATGAGTAAGGGAAAACATAAGTAAAACACCAAGATAAGCAAGGGCTTTATGCAAAAGATTCCAAAAGTACAGAAAGTAATCCCAGTAATTGACAAACAGGAGGGAATCTCATGAAATTACAAGGCTTTTATATCATCAGCAGAAAAATGGGGGGGGGGGTCTTTGCCAACTACACATCAGACTAACCGATGCTTATAAACTAAAGAACTACAAAAATAAATAGCAGAAAGTAAACCATCCACTCAGTAAGTGGGCTAATGAATTAAAGACAGTTTTCAAAATAGAGGCAAATGGCCAAATATTTGAAAAAGTGACATTTTTAGTAATCAGTTCTCAAAACTGCTTTGAAATTCCATCTTAACCATACTCATAAAGAAAGCAAGTGACAAAAACTGCTGGCAAGGATGCAGGAGAAACAACCACCAATTCACTGCTAATGAGAATGGAACTCACACAGCCATTATAAAAGTCAGTGTGGAGTTGGGGGTGGGGACTAGAGAGATGGCTCAGACATTAAGACTCCTATGGCTGCACTTGTGGAGGACGAGAGTTTGATTCCCAGCACCCACAAGGCAGCTAACAACCATCTGTAACTCCAGTTACACCCTCTTTTGGCCTCTGGTGGCACTGTACAACACAGGTGCACCTAAATACATTCAGGCAATACACTCTACATAAAATCTAAAGAGTATTTTTAAAAAAGCAAAAAACACAACAGAACCAGCCTGTGGCCTAAGTATGACCCAATGTAACCAGAGATACTAAATCTATACTACTGCTAGATTTTTCACTATAGCCAAGAAATGGATCTAGCCTAGGTGTCCACCACTTGACAAAGAAAAACTGAAATCAGGACAATCACAGGAAAATAGATGGAACTGAGGATCACCATGTTAAGAAAAATAAGCCAGTCTCAAAAGAAAATGTGCTTCCAAGAGAAAAGGACATGAAGTAAGCCAAGGAAGCGCAACCATGCACTGGAAAGCGCACACCAGATCACAGTTCGGCCACTAACTACAACTCACCTACAGCTCATCTGATCTCAAATGTGTTTTAATGTATCAGCGGAGATCTAGGAGCTGATTCAGTCAGTGATACTGTTCTGTTTTGTCCTGCAGAGTGACGGCGTGCAACAAACCACCTACCTCGCTCAGCGATACTGCCATGAAGCAGTAAGAGAGATCAGTAAGCTTCGACCATCCACAGAAAGGGACGCCCTCATTCAGCTTTCAGAAACTGTGCTTACAAGAGATAAATGACAGCTACTTCTGTTTTTCCTGGCAGCTATTTTACCAGACTGTGCCTAACGAATTTTGTGAAATACTGCTTCATGTGCAGATAACCAAAAATCATTTTAAAAAATAATTTCAACCTTATTGATGGGCAATTTTTTTTATTGGCAAATTTTTTCAGAAAACTTTTTAAATGTAATTAAACCACCATCATTATAGTCCTATAAATTCTAACTGAGGTACCCTGATGGTTATATGTGGTATTGTTTACATTGTTAATATCCACATGTAAAGCCATTACACAAATAAATAATCAGCGTTAAAACTCAAGTAGTTTGTCTTGTTCATCATAGAAGTACAGGTCTGCACTTAAATCCACATTGTTAAATTTTAACAGTATCAAAATTTCATGTGGGAGAATGATTTATTATAAAAGACTGTAGATAAAATGTAGACAACAGGTTATTTACATATTAAGAAAACATTCCACTTCAAAACGAAAAGCGTACAGTAGCTAGCTGACACTAATGATATAATACTTTAAAAATAACAGGTAAAATATATGTGTAATAGTCATTGACTTGATAGGAACAATGGTCTTTAATTTTCAGAAATATTTTGCACTATCACCATTCACTATGCTATCCGTAGTCTTAATGCCCACTATATAATTTGAAACCCAAACAAATCTGCAATACACAGAAGCCCAAACTAGAGTGATCTAGTTTAATATCCTAAGCGGTACAGAATTATACACAAAAGAAACATCCCTCTAACCCTCCCTTAAGAGGAGACACACAAAGTGCATGTGTTGCATTTCAGTTACTGTTTGTTCGTTATATTTCTGTTTACTGAATACATGACCTACTTTCTTTCCCAATTATTTTTAAATCTTATGTTGCTACTGCCAGGTAATGGATTAAATAGTGCCTATTCACAAATAAATTGCATTCACTTTTACAATATGTAAAAGATAACTTCCTTTCAGTGAACCAGCTTACAGCAGTCCACTGTGTGCTGAAGGGCTAATATGGCATTCCTTAAGATTCTTTACCCTAAGAATGATGTGCTTGCTTTAACACATTGTTTTAGCTTCAAAAATTACTTTTAAAGGAGGGGGGGGGGTCAAATGGATTGACTTGTAAATAACTATCTTAGATTTTAAATGTGCAAAAAACTGTCACATTGCTCTTGGGACATATTAAGATAAGGCTAAAAATACTTTCAAGTTAATATACTGAGAAAATAGAACCATAATTCTGCATTAAATCTGTCTCTGTGTGTGTGTGTGTGTGTGTGTGTGTGTGTGTGTGTGTGTGTGTGTGTGTGTGTGTGTGTGTGTGTGTGTTAAAACAAACCA